GCTGAGCCAGGCAAGCGGAGTGGATGCTGGCCTGATTGGGCCTTGATCACTGGCGCTCAAGATCCATAGGAGATGCATCTTGTCTGATGAGGCGTTGGGCTTTAGGAAGAAGGTTCGTCACCTTTACGGGGCAGGGCTTAGAGGCTGGAGGTCACAATACGATCAGCAGCTGCGGGGGCTAAAGCAATGGAACAGTAACCATAAGCTGAAGAGGAAGACGTGTCTCTGGAATTGCAAACAGCAAAGCAGTTGCGATAACAATTTCACGCAAGCAAGTGAACAAGACTGGTCAGCTTTGGTACGGCACGTCTACATCGACTCTACATGGCCAAATGGCCGGCACTTGTGTACAAGAAGCGTCCCAAGCTGGATAGAGTCTTCTAGGCTGGGAGCCCCTCAACAAATGCCAATGCCAGCGGCTACATTCTCAACACTTGGGGTGGGATGCTATTACTGATGGTGATGATGATGACAATGATGTGATGATGACGGTGATGATGATGGTGGTGGTGGTGGTGGTGGTGGTGGTGGTGGTGGTGGGTAGACTGAGGCCGCCGCGGGCATCCGCTGATGCAGGACGTGGTCGTGCGTATCCTGGCCAGGAATTGCAGGCTAGCTGCCAATTTTGTCCACTGAGATTCAAGGTCTGCAAGTTGTGTTCTTAAGCGTTTGAGGCCAGGCTTTGAAGCAACCAGAAGACTGAAGCCTAACTCGCCAAGTGCGCGAAACGCGAGCTTTCGAGAAGCTGTGCAGAGAATGTCACAATATCTGGATCCCAACGAAGCCCATCAGAAAGCGCTATAGCTTCCTGATGCTAGATTGATTCAATGAGTGGGCTGCCCATGTCAAACTTGGGGAGAATATTAAAGAATGCGTCCGCCTTTAGCCAATCACCCACGGGCCTCGAAATCTCATAGCCAAACTTCTTCATCCGTGCTCTTGATTAATACGGGCGCCCTCCCCCCCATAAAATAATAAAGACTTCGACCCATTCTTCTAGGGATCCTAAACCGTCCCACTTGGATTGCAATGCATTTTACTTAGGTTTCATTGATTCTAATGGGCTTTATTGATATTAAGTAGATGTTAATTGTTTCGTTGGATAGTGAATTGATTAAAATTAGATGTTGAGTTTCTTTAGGCTTTGATTCTGTCAAATAGTTGTAGTCTACATTCAGATGGTTCAACCAGCTTTTAATTCATTTCAACTAGTTTAGTGATTCTAAATAAGTTCCAAAACAAAAGGGAGGCAAAATTCATGACCATGAAAACATTTAATTTGACATCTGCTGTTTGTCTACAAGATCTTCCATTCATCTAGATAGAGCCTCTCACGCAAGGTCCGTGAGGGGTAGCTCAGGATGCAATGTTTGAGCCTTAGTTCCTAATTGATTCGAAAATGCACAATTCCGGTCTCTGAACCAGCTCTCCTACTGAGGATTTGAGGTTTTGAAATTTAGGCTTTAGCTTTTAGAGCCTTAGAATTGAAATAAAACCTCAAGCCCAAATCTGCTGGTTTTAGGGTCTGGGAATAACTTGCCTGAAATCGAGGCTTTTTGACCCGAAACGGCCTCTGCCTTTAAAGTTATCCTTGACCCCAGATTTTGCCCAAAATATTTGCTTTGAACCCAAGGGGGGTTTCATTTTTCAAGAGCATGGAGAAAGCCGTACTCTCCCAGCCTGTGCCCTGAACCCGTCGGGAGTTGCCTCGTAAGATTGCAAGACCTGGTTCTCCCCTTCTAGGTTTCTGTACAGCTTCCTTATCTGAACCCCAAACCCTAAACCCCAAACACTAAACTCTAAATCCTAAACCCTACATCCTAGACCCTAAACCCTAAATCCTAAACTACCCTAAATCCTAAGCCCTAAATCCTAAACCCTAAAGCTGTTTTAGAAGCCCTCGGTGCAGAACTCCGGCCTTGGCGGCTTGAGCTGGCCCTGCGCGGACTTCCGCGAGAGGACTGGCTACGAACCTCTGAGATAAGACCTGGGCCACTGGATCCTACCAAGGTTTAGGGTTTAGGGTTTAGGGTTACATTGGGGTTACATAAGGATAATGGAAAAGAAAATGGAAACTGCTATAATGGGCTGTATAGGGACCTGGGCCGGTGGGTCCTACCTTTTTAACCAAGGGTCAAGGTGCCAGACTCAAAGTGGGTCCTACCTAGACCCAAAGTATGTAGAATAATTGTCTGTTGGGCAATTTTTAGGATTTTTGTGCCATTAGTTCACCTACTTTTGGGGTCCGGGTAGGGGTCTGCTTCTTTAGCAGGTCCTGTGATTTAGGGTGTAGAGGGTATTATTGGAGAGCATCTCTGGATGTGGAGGCTTCTCATCTTCGGGGGCAGGCTTGGGGGCATCAGCGTCTTGTACAGGATTTGCAAGGGAAAGTAGGTTCCCCAAGGACTACATGAAGGGTCCATAAATCAGTGGGTAGGGCTTGCAGACCCCAGTTTGAGGAATTCCGTATGGGGAAATGTGCAGTGAGCAACGCATGGAAGAACGCTAGAAAGAGCTTTGTGGTTTAGGTTCTGGACGGCAGGCTTGATGACAAGGTTACCGGGAGGGTGCAGGAGATGATCTCTTGAGTGCATGTAGAAATTGGTTGTGGGGTTTTAGGCTTCAGAAGCCAGGCCCATGTCAAGGATCTAGATTGGTGATCGATACACGGAGACAGGACCTGGACCGTGAGAATGTAGAGGGTGCATCGAGTCTTTACAGGTTGCTGGGCAAGGTTCACGTAGAGATATACTGACGTGTAGATGATATGAAGCAACTTTATGAGCAGTGTAGTCGGATTTTGGAGGATTCCGCGACCTCAAGTGACAGCCGCTCCTCATGGGGTATCCAGACTGAATTCGGCACTGAATGCGAGGCGAGTTCCTCTACCATACCGCCTTCTAGAGGGCCTAGCGGACTGCCCCAAGCAGATATCTCGAATGGTGATCGCTTTTTCGTGAATCAGTGAAGTCATGATTCTGAAAAATCCGACTGCTGTTGGGAATGTATACGGACAGCTGGACTACTCTGATGATTCCTCGAGAAGGTCTGCCTCTTAAAACAGCATCTCACTGCCTCCAAGGACCCCAACGATCAACCCAGTGCTGAAAGACCCTCAGATTCCACAGCCCTGCAGTGGCCTACCTCTGACTGTGCAAATTTGTCCCGGTTCCACAAAATTAGGAGCTTCGGGGATGCATACAATGAGGATCTTAATATACCGACTGGGGCAGTCACTCTCAATCTCCTGCAGTCTCTGGCGCACAGCCTGGATAAAACTGTGGATCTGTAGGCTTGAGGGGAGAACCCACTTTTATTCTTGCCCCTATGTAAGTTCCGAGTCTCCGGTGTTGAGTTTCGAGGTATGGAGCAAGGGGGCATAGAAACTGCTGCAACTTGATCATGACTTTCAGAGCTCGATGAACTCTGAGTATTCATGCGAACCTTGGCAAGGATCTGAACTAGCTGCTAGCTATGAGGTGTGCGCGAGATGCTCTGAGGAAGCAGCTTTGGGGTGCATGGCGACACTCAAGGTGTTTATCGACTAACTTGACCGCCTCGGGTACCCTCTACAGGATGTAGTACGTTATCAAGTTGAGCCCTCAACTGCTGCGCTGGAATTGACTTGCGGGTGGTGCAGGAATCAGCAATTCTTGCCACTGCTATTTGAAGGTGTGTAGTGAGGCGTCTGTCGAGGTGCATATGGACGATCCTACATGGCCGTCTATCCAATTGGATCTCCCCATGTAGCCATGACCCAATGTTAGAAACCCGCGCAACATCATCTTAGTACCAAGCAAGCATGTTGCCCAAGCTGCAGTAGCACTGTGAAATTTGCTAACCCACATCCCTAACAAGAAAGACCCCAGTACCATATGCACCTATGTGTATTATATGTGCATATGTAGAGCCATCGTATTACAGGGGACATCAGGGGACCACTTATCTTCAAGGGGGAGGCGGTTATCGCTGTTACCTGCGCTCCAACCAAGGCCTCAGGGACGTCTTCCATGACCTGCCGAGCAGGAAACTGATGAGTCAGGTTTTGGGCTTTGGGATTGGCAGAGCTAAGAGCTTCACCTGGAGCCCAAATGATGGATGAGTAATACAGTTTACTGGTACAGTACATATCATCCGACGAAATAGAACAATTCAAAACAACATCCAATTTTGTTTACTGAGGTGAGTGAACGAATCGGAGTGGCAAGCACAACTATATTATGCTGTGTTTTCACGCGAACATGCCTGCACAGAGAGGCGAACCTCAGTCCCTACATATGACGGTTGCTGCGGCTGAAGGTGGCCTGTGACTTCTAGTCGACTGGCCGAGCAGGAGAGGTCAACATGGAGGTCCACGGACTTAGGGATTCACAAGCATGTTGGTGTTGCATGTGTTGCTGATTCGTGTGCTTGGTCAGGCTGTCTTCATGTGCCGGGTTTGTTGTGGAGATTGTGTGCTTGAGGATTGGCATCAGGGGAAGGGTCTAGTTGATGTGACATCACCTAGTTCTGCAACCCTACACAGTTCCCGCTGACATTGCACGGGTCAGGGGCACCAGATTTGACGTGTAGGACCACCAAGATCCCTGTTGGCAGCTTCGTAAGCCAAAATTGCAGGCCAACATACTAAACAACCAGAAATGAAAGCAACTGGCTTGCTTGGCTGCAGGGCCATATTCAAGCTGTCAGTCTTAGGACTACGGAATATAGTTGGCCATAGAGATACGGATGGCTCTGGATCTGTGGAAGGCCGTGCACATGTAACCACCCTTGCCTTACCAGCAGGTAAAACTGAAAAAGGCCATGCCAAAGGCAGTTGAGGTTACAGCCACAGGGCGGCGCTGCTTTTTTGGTGAGAGCACATGCCACGCCAACGGCCCATCGAAAACACCCAACGGGCCTGTACCATGTTTCGGCTCAAGCGGCAACATGTTCAAACCTTAAGTGGCGCTTTTCCAAGCCTTTCTGGGCACCTTCGGTCGGTCTTGAGCTGAATTCGCTCATGCTTCGATGAATCCTGGCCGGCTCCGTGGTTCCTGGCAGTGACCAAGGCTGCTACGCTCTGCAAATCTTACAAATGGGCGGCCATTGCCCCAGCAAAGCATGAACCTTGGGAGCAGCAAGCAAGCTTGCAAGTTAGGTTACCTCTTGCAGTCTATACTCAGGCCTGATCTGCACTTAGCGTCAATACCGTCAACCAATTCGCATCGACTTCCTTCAGATCAAATGAAAGACCTCTGGAAGCCCGTCCTCCTTCTTCGAGGGCGCCTCAGGACCAGCTTCTTGGCTCAACTCCAGCTCATAATAATCAATAACAATAAAACATGAAAGTAATACAACAATGAATAACTATCAATAATAGAAAAGAATAATAAGGGCAACCTCTGCACCTGTGCCATCTGCAGAGTCCTTGCTGGACTACACAACGCCTTTTTGAGCTACCCTGTCCCAGCATCTCAGGGTCTCCTCCTGTTGCGCATGGCAGCTCAGACCTTTGATGGCGGATCGCACTCCAGCGCGCCCAATCATCCATCGTGCGGCTTCTTCCTCGTCTTCGCGGGCGTCCCCTTGAAGAGCTCCGTGGACTTCCAACATGATTCTGGACTGCTGGCCCCTAGCCTTCAACCTCTGTGGTGAGGCATAGGGCGAGCTTGATGATGTCGTAGGCCACCTGAGCTACGGGACTGCGTAAGGAGCATCGCTTTTGAGTCCATGGACCCATAGATTACTCAGTCACTTGGAAAGCTCACACTTAGATATCTGGGGCTGTGTAGGATCTAGTCTGCGGCTTTATGTTGTTGGCTTCGGTGGGTCAAGGGTGACTTTTTAGTCCCACCTGGGAGGAAGGGCCAGGATCTGCGCCACAGTAGCTACTCTGCTTACAAAGTGCCACCTCGTAGCAGTATCAGGCTCTCTTTTTGCAGAATGTACATTTGGGGAGACTCGTGCTTTGAGAAATGTCCGCATGTCTTAGCACGCCATCGGGCACAGCCCGCCTGCCTCTTTTTCAAAGCATGTTATGTATTCTGAGGCTTCAAGTAGCAGCAGACAAGAATATATCTTGAGCAGACTTCAAGGGTTTGATCCCAGCCACAGCTTGCAGCTTCGGGCAGAAGGGATGCGCATCATGACCTCCGGCCAAGGCCTCGTCAGAAAGGAGGTTTGCCGTCTGGGTTCGGCGGCTTGAGGTCTGGTCCTCTCTGGCACGCATCCATGCACGCGGCGGGCCGCAAAAACCTTAACCCTCTGTCGCTGAGGAGAGCCAGCTCCAAAGACAGTGAATCCAGGGTCCCTTTTCCCTGCGTGAACCTCAACAAGTCTGAATTTTTTAATGCTAGGCTACAACCCAAAATGCACCCCTTGAAAGACTTGAGACTATGACCCCCCCGATCCCAGTGTCCCACGTCTTGTAGAGCTACCCGCCTCACTGCAAGCCGTGACCATGGTGTCCCGAATGGCTAGCTCCAGAAGCCTCAGTTCTGGCGCAAGCTCTGGCAAAAGATCCTGGCAGACAGTTGCTCGGGAGCTGCTACACCGCAAATGTTTGCGAACGTGTCAAATTCGTATAGACCCATGACGACTAGCACGCCTTGTGCATATGGAGGCCGCCTGGGAGAACATTGGTATTACACAATGGGCATCCAAAATAGCCGCATGCTTTTATCTTAAGTTCCGCTGTTTAGGGGCAACTCCATAGCATCTCTGCCGGTGAGGCATTGTGCTCGGATGCCACGGCGCGGTTTCGTTTAGAAGCCCTTGCCAAAACCAATGGACAAGTTGAGGAAGGGTTGCTGATCCAGATGTGTCTATCAACTTACAAGTGTTTTTAAACTATGCCTAGAACCCAAACGTTTGTCAATAGTGCTCATACCGGCGACCGCCGACGGTGACCATTCAAGTTTCGCAGTTCCTGCACTATCGTCTAATGTCTGCATGTTGGCTGTTTTCACAGGCTATAGGACACTAAACACTTGCTGGATGATTCGCCTCCGAGCTAAGCATGGAAGTCTTGTGCTGGCTTGCCGACGCATACTTAGGGCGACTCATGTCGAAGCTGCCATGTCCTTGTGGAAAGGAAAGGGGCCCCTGACACGCATTGACAAGGATCGAACAAGGACATGAAAGCTCTGACATGGCAAAAAGAAACTCATATCTACTGTGCCTTCAAGAGGCACAGCCTGCTCGACAGCCGTAATCCCGAGCCCTCAACCGCATGGTACTTTGGTCAAGTAGCTTGTGGGAAGCCGGAGCTTGAGCGTTCTGAACGCCCGTGTTCGAGAAGTCACTGCCACTGAGGACAGTCTTCAGGCCCATGTTGGCCTGCTCACACATGAAACTGCGAATGGACACGTGCAAACACCAGGAGGCTCTGTAAGATCATTATAAGCGCCGCGAGCCATGAGCATGAGGAGGATGATTGCTTTGGCAGCAGGATCTTGATGCAGAAGCATCTGCAAATGGCATGAGAACGCATCGGATACCTGGTACCAAGGTCGCCTATCAGCGCTGGGTCCCATGAAACATCAACGCGCTGCACATGCGCTTGACGGTGTAGACACACACGTGCCTCGCAAACAGACTTACTCAGTACCGGGCACCCTTTTCTGGCAAGAAATGTAGGTGATGTCAATTTCAGAGGTTTCTTGGAAAGGCTACAGAGGTGCCATAGTTGATCACAGTTATCTCGAAAGTTCCCGACTTAGCCCATGCTCTCTCTCCCAAAGGCCAGTGCATACAAGAGATGCGCACTTAGGCGGGTTTTGGTTGTAAAAGGGAAAATCCAGTTCTGGCCTCAAAGGCCAGGATGCCATCGAAGGTGTCCAGGCCCAGGCCACCCGGTTCACACGCCTCCGGGAGGAAGTTCTCCCTGGCAAAACGTGCACAACGCCATTGGCCCTAAACCCCCTGCAATGGGCACAGGCAGTACGGTCTGAGGAGATACCAGGTATCCAATGCTGACAGCATATTTATGATTCCCCACATCTCCCCCCCGTACCTTACACTTAGAATGCAATCGCAAAAAATGCAGCATAATCCTTTCGCATGCCCTTGAAGAAGGGTCGCACAAGTCGCAACCAACATCTGCGAGCCCAATTCCAATTCGCACATGCCTGACTCAACTACCTCGAACAAAAAGCATGAAGATCTCACAATCCAAAACCTCAAACCCCCACGCAAGCCGCGAAACAATTTAAATGCATTTTTCAACCTTTGCTAGGCCGGCGGCGTCGGATGGAACTTTTCTAAGGGTTTGTTGCCCTGGTTATTCTGACGCTAATGAAGAACAACCAACATCACAGCAACAGCTCGTCCATTGCCTAGTGAATGCCATGTCAAAGTCCAAAGCTGCGAGGAAGGTCTTGTTGTTCCCAACCCCAGGAGGCTTTACCTGACAAGATGCACTGCATGAAGATCTCAAGGTGTTGGTCACAGCTTGGATATACTGAGACTTTTTGGCGCCACATTACAAAGGAGACCCCAGGAGATCTCTTCAGGGGGAGTATAGATCGCACAAGATCGAAGCCCTTTCGAGCACCCGCCCTGCACGATGGCATGTGTAACACATCACCTGCCGGATGGACGAGCCGTTAAATGCAGGCCCCTCAAGCTTAAAACCAGGAAAAAAACTGGTTCTGTCTGCTCAGCCTAGGCGTGTTCCTAAGGGGAATAGGGATGAAGGGACGCTGACAAAAAGTACCTGGGATCTGGACTGTATCAGTTGCTGGGGCTGCAGGTGTGGGATCTGGACTGTAACAGCTGATGGAGCTGAGGGTGTGCCATTTTCCTACCAGTCTTTGACGGAATCCTGGTGCCCGGCGAACGGCAACGATGACTAGCACAACCTGCAATGTTGCCTGCAACTGTGACGTGCAGTAGAAGACCAAGCACCAACCAAGACTAACCTGAATGTTGTGACAACTATATTATTGGAGTCTACACTTTGGTGGGTCCAAGAGTCTTAGGTTTTAGCCTAAACGGGTATCTCTAGCCGATCATTTTTGAGCTGAGGCTACCACTTCAAATTGCAAACAGCGCCCTCTAGCTGCGCCCTACCAGAACCTTCACCATTATCATCCTGCTGCAATGGTTGAAGATAACCTATAACTCAAGCCAACATGATGGCCGATACAAGTACTTCCCTGAGAGATCACATGGGAAGGGCATGCCACACTTTCACAAAGGGCCAGAGCGGTGCTGGCCTTGGTCGCACTTGCCTGCAAACTGTACACTGTACAGAACACACGGCCATTAAGGGCCATTCAGCACAAACACAGCGAAAATAAATTTTGGTGCTCCTCACCTGGGACTCAGTGATCCCAGAGCGGAATCTTTACTCACTGATTTGCCTGTCTGCCTCCTTGTTCCTTGAAGCGCTGGATGCAAGGTCTTGACATCGGCGCTTAAGAGCTGCAGAAGATGCCATGCCCTGCACAACGGTCTGTCTGCATTGCTGAGGATGCCGATCCTTGGATAATTGCGGGCTGCAGTTTGAGGTTTTAAAACTGATGACTGGAATTGCGCTTCAAGGCACCTCAGTTGTGTCACATGTTATCTGCAAGTACTGTAGTTCAAGTTAAAAACATGCGAAAGTTGTTGGCACGTGGTGTCCTGGCGACTTACCAAACAAGCAGACCAAGCATTCGTAGCTTTAGCAATCCATGTGGGGAGTACGGGAAGTGTTGTCGAAATGAAGACCTACTGCGGGTTACAGTAGTAGCCCCGGTAAAGCGATGCTGAAAAGGCCCAAGCCAAGTGGCTGTGATCAGCGCGTTCTTGGTGCTTGCTGCTCGCAACCCTTCTTCGCTGCTAGGGGGTGCCTGTTGATTTGTCAGAGGCCCGGAAAGTGTACTGGGTGCAAAAAAGCCTTACCTCAACTATCTCGCAAACTTTTGATATCTATGGTCGGGAGTCCAGCATACTTCTTGCCTTTGGTGAGCTTCCGGTGGCAGCCACTCGGATGCCTGCCAAACAACTTGCCTGAATGAAGACTCTAGCTGTAAACATGCTGAACACTCGGAATTCTTCATCGAGATGACAACGATGATGATAGCTGCTTTTGGGCAGAATGTGGATCAAGCTATCAAGCAAGACGTTCCCTGTTAAGTTAGAACTCGTATCTCCAGTTTCAGGTCTTGCCTTGTGCTGGGCAGTGCATCAGAGTCTGCGACGGAGCTGGGCGGTGCCAATTCCCCGTCCTTGCTCGTTGCCAACTCTCAACAAGAATTGGGGTCGAGTTGTAGGAATCTTTCTTCTGGAAAGCAGCACGT